CAGTCTGAGTTGAAACCGTGGTGCCAGTACCCGAGCGCAGGTGTTGTTGGAGAAGAGTAGCATTCATATTTCGGTGTCTCCGAGCCATTAACACTAAATAACAATCTTCATTGGGCGTTGTTGCCAGTCTACGACCTCGCCCTGGTCTTCGGCCTCCACTTCCAGTTTGCAAAAAACGGTTGCAGATCCTGGAAATCACACTTTGTGACACTCCAATGGCTTGCGCTGCTTCGGCTTGAGTTTGGCCCCCTTCTAACCTACCAACAACTCTCCAAGCTTCTGAATCGGTTAAATGACTTCGCTGAGACATCGTACTCATCGAAACAAAGCAGTCACTGAATGGCGATCATCCTTGTCTTCATTGTCTTTTATTCAGTTGAAAGTCAAATTTCATTCACTGCCTCTGAAGCGACGTTTTTGACGTCGAACTCAAAATTAGCATACTCCACAGTTTGAAAACCCGAAAAATTTGCATTTGTGATTCTCTTCTTCCATTTTCGGCAAAAACAAATTCGCTTAGATCTTTATTTTATATAAAACTTACAATATCCTTTAATTGTTTTGAGCAGTGTAGTATTAGTATCTTCAATTTTAGAGTGTTTTATATATTGTATGCGAGTGTTATCTGAGGGCATCTGACAATGTAGTATGGCGGAAAAGGCTATGGTACTGTGACTGCAACTTATGCAATTCCATAGCAACAAGCAATTCCATAGTTCTATCTAGATGAGCGAGCAGATGATGACGAATGCAGATGTGTGTTAATGTTGTGATGATTCTTCTTTTCTTTTCTTATTATTTTTAATTTATGCAAATTAATCGTATTTTAGTAATGACTCGATGTTTATTGGTGATATTTTTCTACATTAGGTGTCCAAAATAATAACTAATGCTTCTGTTTGAAATATACTGTTTTCACTGTCAGCTTGTCCTTTCCACTTATAATTAACAGAATCACCCTCCAGTAGAACAAATATGTGTCCACGTTATCATTACTTTTAGAGCCACCGGTGTAGATGTTAGTCATTCTACGGCGATATATTTAAGTTATGTTTCCTTATTATTTTGATTAATGAGTGTACTTTAAGAAAAATATTGTTAAAATATTTTAGTGAGTCATGGAAACAGTAAGGACTGCAAGCCATTATTATTGATACCAGCCGGCGCATTTGTGCGTACAAAAGCAGATTTTAACGTATGCATTAGCGCACAAAATAACTAGAGAGATATCAGTAAAGCACGTGGCTTATCACAAATGCGTGTGTGGCAAAACACTGTTCAAACGTGATCTCAAATCTTGTTATGTATGTAAGGATAGGACTTCTGTGTAAGAATGGGACTAATTAAGATAGAATAACACGCCGAACAAGTATTAATTTAGAAGTCAAACAACAAAAATCAGCGTTATATTTTCAATAATTTCATAGGACTAGTTTCGATGGTTTGACCAAACTATCATCCTTAGCTGCCAAAGCGCAAATGAACGAAATAAGATATAGTGATTAAATAAGATAAGAATAGTTAGACAGCAATTAAGCTACTGACGCCATCTGTTGATGAACCGAGAAATAAAACATAATTTCCGTGAAAGCTGAAGGCAAAGATGCATTAGAATTAGGATCGTCAACTAGATCAGAAAGATTTTTTTGAATGTGAAATGCCTCTAGAAAATCAAATTCACCAATGGAAAATGTTTTTTGAGTAATTTTGGCTGCAGAAAAATTGCAGATCGTGATTTTCGGACCAACAGTGCTGGGCAGCTGAAGACTTCTGTGTTTCCGTTTTTCTAACATATGCCTCATGTTCCTTAACGCGAAATTTTTAAGGCTCTCTTAGTTTGGACAATGTAAATTAAACTATACTGGCAAGGAATCCTGTAAATACCCCAGAAATTCATATCCAGAATGAGAATTTTATGGAGAGGAAAATAAACGACCTTAAAGACAATTTCTCGAAAATACGTGCAATTTTATAGTTAATTGATGGAAAGAAGGGAATGACAATAGAATTCTTATAATCTCTTAAAACAAGAGCGTGCCTTTTGGTGTGTTAAGATGAGAATTTTTTAAGTACTTGATTAATAATGTTGGGTGAAAAGCCGCTGTCAATAGCTACTGCTTTTAAATTCTTCATCAAGACACAGTTTAGAGGAGTAAACTTGAAGTGCACGGAAAACATAGGAATAAAATGAAGCTGACTTTTGTTTAGTAGGCTGACATAATTCGAAGGCAAACCGATGAAGGCGGTACGATAAACTTTAGTACAGAAGTTGAATGTGTTACGCGTGACCAGAATGTTGAGGAACGGAAGAGAATTGCATGTCTCAAGTTCAAAAGTGAATTGAATAGCAGAATCAGTGGAATTCATTGTTGAAAGAACTTGATTTAAATCATCTTTATTACCTTCAGTAAAAGGTAAGGTTAAAAGAATCGTCTACGTAGTCGAAAACGTTAAAAGCATTTCTGCTAGAAATTTACTCATGGTTTCTTTTGATGTGAAACGTTAAATACCAATGTTCCAGTGGAAGGTGCAATAAGATGTCTAGAAACTAAACTTCGTGAATTTCATTTCTTTTGTATCGAAATTGATGAGCTAATTTCCCTCACTCAACTCTGTTTGAAACAAACGCAATTTGTTTTCCAAAATAGATATTTCAAGCAAACTGAAGGATTAGCCTCGGGAACCCCCTCCTCCTCAGTCCCGTCTTGGCTGATATCTACGTGCATTATTATGAATCAAAATTATTTGAAACTTTAAAGTTCCCAGGATGGTTCCGCTACGTAGACGATACGTTTACCCTGTTTGAAGGTGATAAAGACGTTTTAAGTAAAGTTTTTTCAACAATGAATTCCATTGATTCAGTTCACTTTTGAACTCGAGATTCAAATTATGTCATCCGACTAAACAAAAGTTAGCTTCATTTTGTTCCTATGTTTTCCGTGCACTTCAAGTGTGCTCCTCCAAACTGCCTCTTGACGAAGAACTAAATTATTTAAAAGCAGTAGCTATTGATAAGGGCTTTTCACCCAACATTGTTAATCACAGCAGTTAAAAAATTCTCATCTCAACACACCAAAAGGCACACTCTTGTTTTAGGAGATCATAAGAATTCTGTTGTCATTCATTTCTTTCCAACAATTAGCTATAAAACTGCACGTATTTTGCAGAAATTTAATTTTCGGGCCATTTATTCTTCTACCAATAAAATTCCGAGTTCCATACTCAAGGACTCCATTCCGGATAGGAATTCGTGGGGATTTTACAGGATTCCTTGCCAGTGTGGTTTAATTTACATTGGTCAAACTAAGAGAGCTTTAAAATTTCGCGTTAAAAAACATGAAGCATACGTTAGAAAAAGGAAACATAGAATTCTTCTGTTGTCCAACACTGTTGGTCCGAAAATCACACTTTCAATTTTTCTGCTGCCAAATTATTCAAAAAACATCTTCCATTGGAGAACTGGATTTTTTAGAGGCACTTCACATTAAAAAAATCTTTCTGTTCTAGGTAACGATCCTAATTCCAATCCATGTTTGTCTTCAGCCTTTAAGGAAATTATATTTTAATTCTCGTTTCATCAGCAGATGACGCCAGTAGCTTAACTCCTGTTCAGCCATTATTATCTTATGTAATCACTATATCTTATCTCGTTATTTTGCGCTTTGGCAGCTGAAAAAACGAAACCTTTCGACGCATTCTTTTTATAATATAAGAGTTCATTTTACTTGCTTTGCAATTGACGTTCTCATTTCATCTGTTATTTATTTAAAATTTCACATTGTTCTATGTCTTAAAATTAGAAATGAAAGTTAATGACCTAAAACTGCAATAGTATATTACAGTACAAGTGAAAAAATTGACAGTTTCACTCAAGCGTGTGTCGGATTTGCGCAATGCTTATAGGGTCCTACAAAATTTTCGTAAATATTATATGAGTCCTGGGGTCTCGAAAAAAATCTCAGTGATAAAAAGGGGTCGCGACTGAAAAATGTTTAAGAACCCCTGTTCTTATATATGACCCGCTTTTTTTCTAGATGTAAAGTTAAAACAACTGAAGAATCGTAGTCTGTTAATCATCTTAGAAAGAGAATGTGTTGGTTAAGAACAATTAGTATTCTGTCAAAGTTTTCCCCTCCTGACACTACTGAAACTAGCACTTAACATAAATATTGATAATTTACTTTGGTATAGTTTCTGATCGTGGGTAATTAACCCTGTGAAGTCTTGGTAGACAGTTTTTGTAACAATTAGTTTTGTGAAAATGTTGAAATCTAGGAGAGAATTAAGGAATTTTAGTAGTTACTGTCTCACGCCTTTTCAGTATAATTCTTTTCAACACTGTGACATTCTCTTCAGCTAATTTCCTATAGCTCAACAATTAATCTCATTAGAGAAACTTCTTCGCGCTTTTAAGAACATAGGCATAATTATTCGTGAGTAATTTTTCCTTTCTTGAACTCTGCTTTATCTCCCATTTATTTCTGCTTAGTTTCCTATTTATTTTCTATAATTTTTAGCACCTGAAGTCAGAACTTCTGAAAACTCAAACTTCACACTCTGCTGTTGTTGATTATATTCAAATCTTTCTATGTTCTCAACTAGAGATGCAGATGTTGTCTTATGGTAGATTCAGTAGGAAATCCGAAGTGTTATTTATATTCGACAAGTGTTTCAGTTACACTGTCCGTGATACATATGTTATGAAACTTAGGAGTAAACAAATGCCATTTTATCTCTACGCTGACAATCGATCCATTGACAAAAAATTATCAGTTAGGTGAATTGTCTCTGGTGCCAGTGAAATTTGAATATCAATTCTTCTCTTATGACAGATAGCTGGAACGTATGAGTATTGTTCATCTTTCTCCATCTGTGTTTTGTCAATTAGATAACTGATGTACTACTGGTATTTATGTAAAATTAATATAAAAAACAAGTACTTATTTAAATAAACCCTGGCTACTTCTTTTATTTGTGTTTCTGTTCACGGTTATTCTAGCTCTCTGTTTTTATTCACGTAACAAGGGGTGCTGTGCTTTTGCTGAAATCATCGATTAAGAAGTCTTCAGATATCACAGAAATAAAATTTTGCACTTTTTTATTCGAAAAAAAAACATCTGCAAATTACAAGTTAAAATGCGCTTATTGTTGGAGATTATAATGCTATCACTCTTCATCAGTAAGTAAACTCTAATTTCATATACAACATAGTTTCAATTATCTGAGCTGAGTCCATACCGGAAGAGCTTGGGTAATCAATTGTAATACATTAAATAATTACTATCTCTGGTAAACGATTATTATTCTTGATTGTGTTATTTATTTTAACTACATATAACTTTATTTCCAAATGTTAAATTATTTGTTTCGACATTAAAATATATTTTAAGCAAAAAGAGCTGAAAATTTATCCTTTATTTTTAATTTTCATGTATGATCCACAGACTAATTAAAATTGCAAATAAAGCTATAATAATAATTTTAATTACCAGATTAAGCTGCAAACGTGACTTTAAAAATGGTAAAACAAAAGTGGACGAAAAGGACGTGTTTTTAAAAGTAAATCGAAACTTTATGGTGTTGTGTGCAATAAAATTGCACATTTTATTTGTAATAAGGGAATAACAGTTTCAAAAGAATACCATTTACTTCGTTCCGAATTAAATAAAGAACTCGATTGACAAATGAGCGTCGGCTATCAGTGACAAAGATAGATTTCAATAGTTTTTCTCCAAGGCTACTAATTTTATCAGATTCGAAACACCATAAGTTGCAGAAAAAAATAAATAGGTTTATAATTATTTACGTACAAAAGTGTATATTTTCTGCACGTATTAAAGGAGAATTTAATAAATAAAAGAAAGAGAATACGTTGTCATTAAATTTTCTCGAGTTTTGTCTCACTTGGAATGTTTTCTCTCAAAACATGGAGAGCTTTCATAAGTAAGTTCTTTAGGAGTTAGTTAAAAATATTAGAATTATTTAAAATTAATATATCAATTTAAAATTTTAATATTTAGCTGTTGATATGTTTGAATTACAATGCGCAACCACTAGAAACTTCTTGTATCTAGATTTTAGATTTAGAAATCTAGATTTAGATTTAGATTTTAGATAAAAAATTAATATAAATTTGATTTTTTTATTGCGTTAATATTGTTATTGTTGTTTATATTCTTTCGATACAAATTTAATAAGTAAAATTTAAAAAATTAGTTAAAACATTTTATTTTGTTACAAAAATACAGTCTTTAGATAGTGCATTCGACTCACATGCAATTTGAGTTTGAGAGCATCGTAAACAATCTCTGCGTAATTAAAAACTTTGCATTTTTCACTCATTTATATTAGAAGACTTTTGTATTCTATGATTTCAGGGGGATTTCATCTCAGGAATACTGTGGAAACCACTCGTCTCTTTCAAGGTGATATTCCCAGATTAGAAAGTATTGAAGTAAGAAAATTTTATACGTATCCCATTTAATAACATTAATCGTTACTCGTCTTGAAGTGGAATTTCTGCACTGACGTGAAACAAACGATTACCGATCTGTGCATGTGCGATGGCCGAACGGTGGCAGAGCGGTTAAGTCGCTGAATGCTAGTAGTTTGACCTGTGTTCAACTCCAGGTTTGGCTGTATTGGGCGTTTTCGTAGTTTTCCTCATGTACAACCTGAATACAATTCGGTTTCCCTTAGAAAGTCACCCACGAAGACATCGCGTTGCTTAGGCTGATAGACCCAGCGAGCTCTGCCGCGTAATCAAATAAACCAAACTAAACCTGTGTATATGTAAGAAGCAAAAGCTCAACAAACAATCTTTTTTTTTTTTTTTCTTTTTTGTGCTTAAACTGTATCAATACGACGGTTTTCATTATAAAATATTTATTGTGCTTAACTATTTTCAATCTTCTGTCAACTGAAAAGAAATTGAGCTGAAGTTTGAGGCATTATTAGCAATGTTTGCTGAATAATGGCCACCAAAACAAGTTCTAAAAATAAATTATTGCTAACAAAATGTGTTATATAAAGTAAAGAGGAGAATTTTCTGGTATGTTTAATAAAACGATTTTACGGCATGTTTATATATGTTATTTTAAATGCATTTCTTAAATAATTATATTAAATACAATAATTAATCTATATATTAAATAAATTCTGTTGAATTATGTCGTTATTTTAAATAAATTGCTGGCAAAATTATACTATCACTATAATAAATACAAATTTACCTTAAACTTCTTCTATGTATATATATTAAATAGCTCTAGCTGCATAGATATTGGATGAATTCTTATTTTATCTTTTAAGCATACTCAGTTCAGTCAAGTGAATGCTTATAACAGTTGGTAACAAATCGTACTTTTCTTATGCTCCAATTGCGATACTCTTTACTTTATATAATACATTTTGTTAGCAAGAATTCCGCCGTTTTTTATCTTTAAAGCTGGTTCAGAAGACAATTATCCGCTAATCCGTAGATATAAACATATCTTGAAAGTGTTTTAGTTTCTACTTCAATCTTTCGCAATTCAAGTAATACCGTAATAAAGAAAGTCAAATGCAAGTTTGAGTTTTCTAAAAGATACAAAACTTATATCTGCATACGCATGTATAAGTTTTGTGATACATTTATAAGGTATTTTCTTCCTCCTTCTAGTATGCCTTTGCGGTATAACGGTAGCACACTCGGCGTGTATTCGACAGGTCCCAGTTCGAGTTCCGGCGAACACATTGCCCATTTTTCATATCTTCTGCTTAAAAAAAAAAAAAAAAAAAAATCGTAATGACTATATTAGTTATTTCTTGCATATAATTTAAAAAGAGAGTAGCGATTGTTACTTTATCATCGAGGCCATTCATACGCTATTTAACTAGGTTGATTTAAATATTAGTGAAAACTTTTTGAAATGTTATTACTTTCAGCAATTTAATATAATAAATTCATGAACTTTCTAGCACTCTTGCAATATTCTGATAACAGAATGATTCATGAAGCGTAGTTAAGTTTGAACAGATAAAATTAACTAACATAAAAGGTATTTTCTCTTTTTCACGTGTTTCCGTGCTTGCTTCCACTTCTATCAACTGACGCTGTCTTCATGGCTTAGCTGAACAGCACATCCGGCTAGCAAGGTTCAGTGTTTGAATTCCGGTGAGCTCACTGCCCATTTTTCATGTTTTCTGCATTGAATGACTCTACAAGTGGCGCTCGAACTAAAAGGTGAGATTTGGCTCTTGGATCTTTTCATTCCAAGTCGTCCTTTTAAAGGGATAGTACGTCTGGCAGGCAGTCGGGAGGTCTGGTGTTCGTATCCCGGTGAGGACTTTGCCCATTTTTCACAACTTCTGCATCGATAAACCTGATGAGTTTATAAACACTATAAAGAATTATGAAATTGCATTACATTAACGTCATAAGGAATTATTACATAATACCATATTATTGTTATAAGGGATTATTATATTCCCTCATGGCCTCAGCACGTCTAGCTAGTAACTTGAATACCCGTTCTTCGAATTCTTTTGAGAGTATAATTGATTTCACTCGTTTTTGCCGACTCAAAAATGTAATGGAGGATACAGCTACCATTTGGATTGTTCTGCTGGGGTCCCTGACTCCTTCTAGTCACTCTTTAAATAGAAAAAAAAAAAAAAAAAAAAAAAGCAAGTAATTGTCACATTTTTTTTCCGTGCATGCTGTCGTTGTGGAAATCCTAAGAATGCTCAACTGTGGAAATCCTAAGAATTTCCACAGTTGTATCTGAACTAACAATGGGGGACCTCTAATACTTCATCACTTGAATTTGCTAGACTAATTCTCATGCCTCTCGACAGTCGCCTTAAAGAGGAAGACTATAAAGTATTATTTCATCACGCCATAGTGTAAGTGGCTTGCAGAAGCAGACAGAATTGTAAAATCCACAGTTCAAATCCCTGCACGCTTACTAGACTGAAAAAGAATAATACACCTTAAATTCCACCGAAATATCTAAATAAGAAATACATAATAGCTATTAAAGACTTGGCGGCTATTATGGAAGTGCTGAATAGCCTAATTTAAATACATTAATAATAATATTTGAAATATTGCAAATATTTCCAGAATGTGACTTACTGAGAAAATGGAATTGGCAAGATGTTGCCTATCTAGAAAGTTGATGAAGTACTGTCACAAACGTTCATTATCAATGGTAAAAAGACAATAAATTTTGAGGTAGGTCTGTATATCTCGAAATAATCTACTTTGCTGAATTTCGAGTAGCATTATTTTCTTAACCAGCTTATTACGAACTTTAGTTAAAGCAAATGCTAATCTAATAGCCATATTGCATATGTAGAATACGTGTTTTAAATTTAATTGGTAACAAGTTCTAAATATGTTTTTAATCCCAAAACTAACCTGTCATGATATCTGAGTTTTTAAGAAATTCACGTGTACTTATCTGCAAGTCTGCAGAGAATATGCCTGTAACTAAATGCAACTTGTGACAAATCCTCAAATAGACGTGGAAATGATTTATCGTTACGTCTAAGATGAAGCAGAATTTAAGAAGGGTGTAAAAGACAGATGCAGTTATTTAAAACTGAGTAAGTTGAGCAGAAGGCACACCTGGTGCTTACAAATCAGCCAGCATTTATGACATGAACTCAAAAATACAATTTAAATTTAAAGCTAAATCTAAGTATTTATTCGTCAGAGGCCGCGCAGAGATATTTAAACGCAAAAATTGACTCTCAAGCTGGAATGGCCAGACAGCCTATCTGAAAGAATAAAGCATCGCCGTAGATAGGAACTCTTATCTTAGAATAACAGCTAGTAACTAGGCTGAAGCTTCAGCAGGCAGAACACGCTCTGACTAAACAATCTCAAATGATCACTTAAAAACGCGGGAGCTAATTTGCATTCTGGAAGGGAAATAGGAAGAAAGAAGTGACAGCACAGATTTGGAACATAAAATAATTACTTAATTAGCATAAATAAACCTTACAAGTTAATAACTGAGTTTTTAGAAGTGACACTGCCACTGCCACTGCCTATCTGTTATCCTGAAAATCCACTGCCTGTCTATTACTTGTGAATTAAAAGAATATAATCATGCGTTGCAGAATACTTCGTTATCATATAATGTTTCAGCATTTTACTAATTTTACCCAACCATATAGTTCTCCCCATCTTCAATCTCAACTAACTACTGAGTGGCTAAATATTGTTAATGCGGTTATTTATAACTTGGAGAGAACTTAGCTATTTTAATGATTTATCTTTAATCTTAAACGTTTATTTTAAACCGTTAATATTTCCAATTCCAACCATTAAAATCGTTTAGATTATCTTCCAGATTTTATGTAATAATTCACCTATTTCAATGACTGTTCATACAGAAGATTCAGGGCCAGATCCTCTTCCAATTCATATTCTGCTCAAAATGATAACGACACGTCCGCTGTCGTTCGTTTCCCTCTTTTCGGTTCATTCTCTTTTCCAAAAGTGATACAGCTAAATTTTGCTTTCATCAATTAAAACGATTTAAGCAATAGTTTAGGTTTATCATTTAAAACGGTTTGTTCAAAGTTTAACTGGGCTTGCTTTAATGTTTTCACATGACTTAGGTTTCGATTTCTAATATTTATTAACTATTTCCTTTAAAATATAAGATATTTTATTTTATGAATTTCTTTTAATGTACTATTTATATTGGAAATTTATTTTCAATTCATATGATGCATCTTTAAACATCAGCGCTGGATGATCATATTTGATTTCAATAAATTCAGGTTTCTTTAAACTCACGAGCACATTTCAGGAAAACATACATAAAAATACCGAAAGAGGAATTTTGGTGCTTAAGACAGAACTACTTTGCATGCTTATGTTTCATTCTAAAATTAGTTCGCAGTAATTGACGTATTAATCAAATTTTCAAGTATAACGAGTCAATGATTATGTCTCAGCTAATATTCTTTAACTCAAGAATAACGGTTTGAAAAGAGGTTGGAACGAAAAAGTTTTTGTTAATAGGAAAATTGATGGTGAAGGCGATGAGTGATAGCAATGATGAGTCAATATGATTTTGATAACAGAAGTAAGCGAAAAAGAACGAATCGAGAAGTCGCCGTACGGAACTGGTATTTAAAATAATTTGTTTCTGAAAAAAATATTACATTAGTCTCTATTGTTTCTAAGATCCTTAAATGCTTCTTAGGAGAATACATTAACCACTGCCGTCTTCTTAACACTTGTACTAAAACTGGTTTCCATAATCCAACAAGAAGCATATCCCGATGCATATATAATATCAGGTGATTGCTTTGGACAAGAGAGAGATAATATGCATACAAAACCTTCCTTATGTTGCAGAAAGTAGATTTTAAAGGAAAATTGAATGTTAAATTGTAAGGATCTTAAGTTTTACTAACGTTTATTTTATTTTAAAACTTTACTATCACTTC